AAGGACTTACCCGCGGCGAGGCCGAGCGCCAGGATACCGCCGGTAGACGTGCCGGCTATCCAATCAAAGCACTGCACCACGGGTTTGCGCAGCACCGATTCAATCTCCAGCAGCGTCTGTATGAGCACCAATCCCCGAATACCGCCACCATCGAGACAAAGTAATCTACCGCCCTTGATCTGTTTATGGTTTCCATGCTCGGCCATTTTCTCCATGCCTGATACGTGAAGCATCTGATCGAGAATCGTGCGCGGTACATACTGTGGCGGTTCCGACGGTGCGATACCGGTGTAGTTCTCGTCATGTTTGCAGCCGAGATGACAATCTTTCATCTCCGATGGACATCTTTGCGCGCCTACCGCATCCAGTAGGTAGATTATCTTGTTACCTTCGGTAGTATCAACGTTCGCCTTGTGCCTAGGCGTTTCCGCCTTCCAGTTTCGTGCGTCGACATCAGAGCCGAAGCCGATAAGCGCCTGTACGATGGCCGGTGTCTCTGCCTCCACTGCAAGATGCAGCGGCGTATTACCATCGTTATCGACAATGTTGACAGACGCCATATGACTCAGCAAAGCGATCACACAAGGCAGTCGTTTGCGCATCACCATTACATGCAGAGCAGTACGTCCGTCGAAGTTAAGCGCGTCGATGTCGCAGTTGGTGTCGATCAGCGCCGTAATCACTTCGCGACTACGTGACCAGTGCAATGGTGTGCCGCCGAATTTCATGTCCTCTGCGTGAAGCACGTTCGGCTTGTTGTGTAAAAAATCTCCAACATAACCGGGACTGGAGGGCTGACCCTCAGAAGCAGATATGTTTACATCCGCACCGATCAGCAGGAGCGCTTTTACGCATTCGGGTTTATCGTTCAGGCAAGCGACATGCATGGGAGTGTGACCGTTGCTGTTACGACTGTTCAAACTGTTTGGAAGACCCGAGCCGAGAGCAAGAATGATCTCTTTGGTGGATGTGGCTGCGTAATGATAAACCGTGTTCGCATTATGATCCAAATGTTCCAGCGAACTCTTCGCTGCTATCAGCATCTCGACGGTGCGCAAATTATTAGTTTGTACGGCGACTTGCAGGGGCGAAATACCAGTCTCTGAGTCCCCGCTGTTGAGTTGACTGTTGACAATCGCGTGCATGAATGCATCGTGGAGGGCAAAGTAGGCTGCTAAATGTGCTAGAGTCCATGTGGGGTGTTCTACCAGAGTGTCGCAAAGTTTTTGAATTTTTCCAACATGGCACATCTTAGAGAAAAAAATAAGATTAAGTGTTATCAATTATACATATAAAAATTTTATTTAATAACAAATCATTTTTAAATTGTGTATGGAAGATAAATGTATAATATGGGAATATCATTTCTTTAAAATACACTGTATATAGACATAAACAAAATATGAAGAAACATTACCTCACGTACTATCTGCACAAGTACAGGGACTTTGTCTTTATATATTAAGAATCTTGTCTCTGCACCATCTAGAGTTTCTGATCGAAACAGACTGAAAAAAAAATATTGAAAAGTCAAGAAGATATCAAAGTTTTGAAAATTTAATAAAAATCAATAGAAAAATGGTAGATAATATAAAATACAAACATTCTGCATACATCAGTAAATAAATTTAAGACAAACATTGTTTTTATGAGCATTATCAACTTAAATGGCAATGTGACTGCTTCCAAGAAAACAATAATTACAATTATGTATAGAAAAATAATACGTAATGTAGTTAAATATAATTTACCTGTTTTTCAAATTTTTAAAAAAATTTGTCATATATCCGCCAAGTCTATTACAAGTTCATCAAATTTATACAAACATCAAATTTATTCAAAATATATTCAGAGTCCTAATAAGCAATTATATATTTCAATCAAGATACTAAAAATAAATTCAAGATTTGCTTATTATAAAGTAACTTCAATAAAATTCATATCCTTCAAAAGTAAATTTCTTGTTTTGAATACAATAAAGTTTTTTAAAATTTATAATGAACATATTTTAAGACTATTATCAAGAAAATATTCTTTGTTAAAGATAATCATTACTAGAAAGAAAAAAAGGTAACTGACAATGAATATTCAATCACTTTTCTTAGCAGTAGAGAGAATTTTCTTTTAAAATTTACCCTAAAAATATGGTAGTTGTGGTACAATACAATATTTTAAAGATTTTTATCGTACACTTCAGTAAAATTAATCAAATTTATTTTATATTTTATTGTAGTTTTATTAATGAATGAGAGAGATTTACATAAAAATTCTTCAAAATACAATGATGTCCCACGACTATCATATTTTCAGGATAAACTCTAAAAAAAATTTTTTTGTGTGTAAAAATGTGTATGATATTTTTCTGTGTGTAGTTATTTATATATTTCATATAATTTACAAAATAAATAAAACACACACACACATACACACACAATATTCTTATAATTACACAATATTACACAATATTCTTTCATGTAAAAATAATAAATCAATAATAAGATATACCTGTATGCTTGATGTAAGGTCTCCGTGCATGGCCTGTGCAGGACAATTTCGTATTTATCCTGATTCTTACCGCCAGGGCCGTAGAGAACAATGCCGTCCTCACGGGAGTGTATATGCCGATTGCTGTATTGGTCCGGCCGCACCTCCTGGACGACGTTCGGTGGTGTGTCCGAGAAGACGATGTTCCGCAGAACGTTGTTTGCGATCGTGCCGAGCCAGGCCATGGTGGTACCGGTGTTGACGAAACGAGCGAACTGGAGCGAACGGGAATGAGACGCGGATGCTTCTACCGCGCGAAAACGTTACACAACTTTCCGTTACTCATTGTATCACAGAAACGTAACATGACAGTTCGCCCGTACTTTGCACTCTGCCTCGATTCGTCTCGACTCCGTTGTTCGACCGTTATTTCTTCAGATGAATGACAGTAATCACAATATGGATAACAATGACAGGGAACTGAGGGAGCAAGGTTAATAAAGTACAGGAACTGTACTTGGTATAGTAAAATCAAAGCGAGCCGAGAGGCCTCGCGCGGAAAAAGTATCAAATATCCAAATCAAAAGGATTGTTCTTTTTAACTGAATTTTTTAGTTGTTTTGTACAGTTCATGTTTTATCGTTTTCTTTTTCTTTTCATATACTGAAGGTGAATCGTGCAAAAAGTTCTGTTAAAAAGAACAAGCCTGCCAACACAATAGAAAATATTCATGTGAATTATTTTTCGAAATATTTTGTAAACATTTGTAAATTTAATTATTACATTAAAATGGTTTACAAAAATACTTAAGAAATGTACAAATATTGTAAGAAAAAGATATTTTAAAAATTTCCTGGATATATTTATATTTTAGAAATAATTCACGAAAAATTTTTGAAATATTTCAAATTTTACAATGAAATATTAATTTTGGATAAATATATATTCAGATGTTGAAGAAAGAGAAAGCAAAGATGCTGAGTGCAAATAGTATAAGTAAAGCAAAGTTGTGTTCCGTTTCACGCATGATGCGCATGATGCATTATCTTTGATGATATTTATCTTTGTTTAACATTCGATGATTAACAATCATAAATAAGCATGTGCGTCATGCATGAAATAGAACGCAGTCCAAACTACAATCATTAATTAAATATTGTATTAGGTGTTGGAATTAATTCGTAGCGTTTTTAATGAAAGAATGTTATTTATTTCACATGAGCATTAAAAAATACATTAATGAAAGTACTTCCCATCACTTGTAAAACGCTACGAATTAATTCCAACACCTAATAGATCCACAATTGATTTCTTCAGAATTCTGAGGATTCTTACAAATAAAGCTAACAACATTGAAAAAAAGCATAGAAATTAATCGAATTGAATATCGGAGAATCGATCCTTCGATAGTCGATAGCAATCGATCCTAGTCCGCCCTCCCATTTCAAATCCAAAGGGATCTCCAAGGCAACGACAACATAAACAAACATGACGCATTTCGCGTTTCATGCAACAGTTTCAACAGTGAAAAGAAATTTAAAGATAAATGATAGATAAAAAAATATTGTTTAAGATGTTACAAAATATTTATAATGCAAAACAGTGATTACCGCGTTCGTTCCGCGAAGTTCCATTATTCTTTTTTGTAATGATTAGGTAAACTGTTTGTTTGTCCATGCTAGTCTTAAAAATCACTTAACGATGCCCTTATTCTTCAATAAGTTTTCCCCCAAGAAGACGCCAACTAGGAAGGCGTCCGTTTTCCTAGCAAATAAAAATTTAAGCCCTAAACGAATAGAGAAGGAACTCGGCCCGGAAGTGGGCCCTATACGCCTCCGCCTTGGAGATCAAGAAGCTATTTTTGAGGCTGGTCTGTGGATTCCAGGTGAATAACATCATTCATTTAATAAACAGAAACTTTTACACTTTTATCTTAAATAATAAAAAAATGAATAATTTTGCTCTAGAATCTGGTAAGGTGGGAGGTACTTTCAAAGAGAATGAAAAATTAAAAAAAGAAGTGAGACGACTGGAGGAAGAGAATAATCTATTAAAGCTAAAGTTTGACGTACTTTTAGATTTGGTAATCTTTTTTTATATAGCATCTTTTAAAAAAATTATAATAAATTTATTTTTGAAATATATAGTATATAATATATTTATAATTAAATTATAGTACTGAATATATAAAGTATATATATATATACGTACAAGAAAAAAGTTTATCAATATTAAAAATAAAAGCAGAACATTAATAAAAATATATAATGATGAGTATCGACAGTTACATTTTATGTTAATTTTTTACAGTTAACACAAACAACTGCCGAAGTTCACTCACAAAAGGAAGAATTAGAGAAACTAAAAAATTTTTCTCTTAACAAACGAATTGTCGTTTGATTCATTAAATGTTACTTGCTTACTAGGATATAAATAGAAACTATAAAACTAGAATATAAATAGAAACTATAAAACTAGAATATAAATAGAAACTATAAAATAACTATAAAATAACAATAATTGATTATTAATCTCTTTCCAATAGAAGTCTTAATATTTGTAAAAAAGTTACAAGACAGAAATCAACTCTTACAGATAAAAACCGTATTTGATATTTCTCCATTCTAATTAAGTTTTTTATAACGCTAATCGTTACAACTGTATATTATTTACGTTCCTGGTTTCGAAAAAATTTATCGATGTAACTCATGAGGGAGAGATAACGTGCGTGAGGGACTACATTTGGACATCTGTATCTCATGTGACCTGTGAAAGAATATATAACGCAAAATGTAAAATACAATTTGAATATGATAATATGTAGTGTAATTGAGAATAATAAAAATGTTATTTTAAAAAAATTAATAAAAGAAATAAAAAGAGAAAAGTAGAATCCGACCGAAACTTTTGCCGAAACTGAACCAACACACTCGGCTACATGTCAATTTCAACCGAAACCGAAACAAAAATTAAAAAATAGTTATATATTTTTTCTTTATAAATATCATAATTTACTGAAACAATAATTAAATTTTGACCGAAATTTCGATTGTGTATCAATTTTGGCCAAAGAATATAAGTACTTTTTCTTCATAAACATCATAATTTAATTATTGAAACAACGCATATTAAAATTAATATTTATAAAAAAGAGTTATATGATTTCAGTCAAAATTAACATGTAATGAGTGTTTGTTTTCAGTTTCAGTAAAAGTTTCGATCGGACTCTACAGAAAAGAAAAAATAACAAAAAGATGAATTCTTTAAACTTTCTTCTTCATCATTACCTTCTGTTCCGCAAATTCCGCATTTTCTCCTGCCCCTGATAAGTTTGGGCTTTTTAGCGTTTTCAGGAACTGTGTTATCATCCTTATCTGCCCACTTGAAAAAATGACAAGTGGAAGTTGGACCCTTGGGACATCTATAAAATAATCGTCCCTTTTTAGGGCTATCTCTGTAAACCGCCATCCTAAAAAAACTCGCAAAATTATTTTTGTATTAGGTACATAATGAAGCTGCTAATTGGCGACATTAAGACTTCAATTAATTAATTAATTATTGACATTATGTGTTGTTAATCGTAAAAAGTTTTGTCGTTCTTTCCGATCGGAGATTTTACTCACTTTTGAGCGGGCTGATTACAGTTACACATGATATTCGTGGATGGGTTGTCCCAATTGTCCTTAGAAGTGCTAGGGCGAGAAAAGTTACTATCGCTGTTTTTGTCCGGTCTCGATACCATTGAACGTTTCTTCCCTGTATTACCTTGAAATTTTGCGCTATCCTCATTTGCCCATTTCAAAAAGTTGCAAACGTTTTCACTGCATTTATAAAATAGACATCCTGGAATTACAAATATTATCCAAAGTAACTTACGTGACAAATTATATTTATATACGATTGCCACTTACCCTTATTTGATCCAAATTGTTCAGTTCTTGGAACAGCAGGCTTTTTACAATTACACATAATGTTCTGAGAATTATTGGACGCAGATTGATCTGATTTGTTCGCAAAATGATTGAAAACGCCGAAATTAATCGAGGAAGTATGATTTTTTCTATTCTTTGATACTGTATTGTTGGCAGTATTTGGTCTATTTGATTTATTTAACTGAAAAATGTTCGAATTTTGATTTTGCGCACGTCTTCCCGATGAAGTGCTAGGAGTTTCTATCAAGTTAAAATCATTGTTATTTCGACCAAAGTCTGTATTAGTAGTTGTACTTTGCAATTGGGATGTACTTGGAGTAGTAGGGGACATCAATGCGTCCTTCATATTATTTTTCTTTCTCTCCTCTTGCATTGCACCTTTTTCACTTTCCTCAAATTTCTCAAGCCACTCTTTCGTCTCAATTCTCGTATCCCATACACATTCCACATCTTCTCTTTCACTATTTATCTCCGTTCTTTCTAACTTATCTCGTCTTTAATCTTATTATATTTTTCGCATGTTACTTCTAATTTTTTTATTCTTTCTTTTAATTTATTTTTTTCCTCTGTCCAATCTTTTTCACTACATCTCATTTCGTCTTTTAATTTCTCCATCTCTATCTTTATTTCCCGTTGCACATTTTCAAAAGCGTTCATCACGTCACATATTATTTCTTCCACACCGTTATCTTGCTCTTTTACATCCATCCTCCTTTTTTAATGGCTTTCGCGAAATATTTAAATACGAATACAAGAATCGATTTCATCAGAAACTTTCAAATATTTTAGATCCTTGTAATAAATATACTTGCAATAATAACTCGTTTGATGCAACTGCATTTCTATTATCTTATCGACCTAGTCAAGAAATCTGTCCTTCACCGCAATAGATATTCCTATCTTGTTTTTTTACATTAGTGATCTCTTCTTTTTAGCTTGCACAATTCTTTCTTCTTCTTTTCTCCTCAAAGACAAAGAAAATATAAGGAGAGATGGTACAAGATATTGAGCTAAAAAAACAGACCTTAGGTAAGCCACAAGAACAAATTTGAAGTCTCACTACAAATGCTTTGAAGCTATTTTGAGTGCGGTCAATCGAGCCTTTGAAAGTATTTTAGCACCAGATACGATATCATAAATACGATATGGACTCAAAAAATCCGAAAGCGGTTGAATATCTCGAACAAAGCATTTTTGAGAAAAATGTTTCAGATAAAAGTTGTAGGGTATAAACAAATCTATTTACTAATTATATCCGTTCGATCTTAAGTGGCGTCGCTAAGATTAGATCAAAATCATCGATTTTTTTAAACGAAACTGGCTAAAACCTCTTGAATGTTGTTCAGGATCATGACTTAGATAACATTTGTTAAATGTTATTGTCAAGGTTATTGGAGATGTTCCTCTTATCTTCATTTTCATGTAAAAATGAATTTTTAGTACAAAAACGAAAATAAAAGGAACAATTTCCAATCAACAATCTATTAAAATTAAAGTTTGATGTACTTTCAGATACAATAATGTTTTATGTTATGCCTTTCAAAAAATTAAAAAATTAATCTCTGAGAAACAAAAAGTATATATTTTGAAAAAGTTTATCAATATTATAACAGAATATTATAACGTTAATAGAAACATATAACAGTAATTGTTAATAATGATGTTAATTTTTTATAATTAACGTAACAATCGCACTTCACTCACAGAAAGAAGAGTTAAAGAGAATGAAAAACAATTTTTCTTATAACAAAGGAATTGTCATTTAATTTATTAAATATTATTATTTGCGCCACTTACTAGGATTTATGAACAAAAACTATAAAATAACATTAAATGATTATCAAACTACTTTCTATTTTAACACTAGTAAAAGTTATAAAGCAATAGTTAAGTAGTCTTAGAAATAAAGCTATATTTGACACTACTTCATTCTAATTAAGTTTTTTACAATTCCAATCGTTATAAACTGTACATTATTTACAATACTGTATTGAAAAAAATTCATTCGTCAGTCCATCGCGTTATTCGGACATTTCTTCCTCGTATGGCCTGTAAAAAAGTACAAAATGAAAAATATATAATATATAATGTAAAAATATATAATTTAGATATAACAGAACATAAAATCTATTTTTGATACAATTAAGAGAAAGAAAAAAGAGAAAACAACATTAAAAAAATTCTTTAAATATTACCTTCCAATCCGCAATTTCCACATTTTCTTTTGCCGCCGGTGAGTTTGGGTCTTTTGGAGGCATTGCCTTTTTGTGAAAATTTGCTACGTGCTTTATTTCCTATTCCTCTTGCAGTGGAATTGCTCCAGTCCGTGTGATCGGTGTCATCTTCATCTGCCCATTTGAAAAAATTACAAGTGGAATTTACACCCTTGGGACATCCATAAAAATGTCGTCCTTTATTAGGGCCATCTTTGTGAACCGTTAGCCTACAGAAACACAAAAATATTTTTACATATATTAAAGATATAAGATCTGTTCTTTTTAGCTGAACTTCTTGCATGGTTCATCTTTTCTCACTTTCTCTCCAATGGAGAGAAAAAGAAGAAAGATGAACCGTGCAAGAACTTTAGCTAAAAAGAATAAATCTATAGTGCAGCTGTCAATGGACAATACTAATTATGATTTCATCACTCATTAATTAATTATTAATTGACATTAATATATGGCCAATCGAGAAAATTGATCGTTGGAGATTTTACTTACTTTCGAGCGAGCTGATTACAATTACACATAACATTATTCGTAGACGGATTTCCCCAATCGTTAGAAGTGCCAGCACCAGAAAAGTGACCAGCACTATCGTTGTTTCTATTCCAGTTAGATTCCCAAGTGGAATGTTCGCTCTCTGTGTTAGACTCGGATGCGCTGTCAGATCCCCACAAAAAAAAATTACAACCACTTCCCTGGGGTTTAGCGCATTTGTAAAATAGACGTCCTGAAATTGCAAATGTTATTCAAAGCAACTTACGTGACAAATCATAAACTTACATGCATTTGCCACTCACCTTTATTTGGTCCATCTTTTTTAACTGTTAACTGGATCGCAGTCTCATGACAGTGACATATAATCTCAGCATTATTGTCTGTATTACCCCATATATCTTTTACATTATTCGTATTGCGAGAATTTCTGAACGTGGATTGATTTGCTCTGTTCCCTGGATTGTTGAAATCACTTGAATTAATCCAAGAAAAATGATTTTCTCTATTGTCCGATATTGTACTTCTATTGACAGTATTTGATCTATTCGAGCTATTCGGCTGAGAAATATTAGAATTCTGGTTTTGTATATTTGGTCTGCCAGATGATACGGCAGAAGTTCCGATCAAGCCAACATTGTTGTTATTTCGTACAAATCCTGTACTATTAGAAACTGGCTGGGTATTTCGCGATTGAAATGTATTTGAAGTAGGTTGAGATGTACTTGAGGTGGAATTCAATGTATTTCTCGTATTATTGTGAGCAGTATAATTCGTTCTTCCAGTTTGTTTAATGCAATCTTCTTTAATATTTAACATTTCGTTAAATATAGTATCACAGCCTATACAAGTTGTGTGAGAGGTACCATACATGGGTATCACATTCCTGACTAATTTGAATTTTAATTTGTATATATTTTCTGTACACTGAAAATATTAATCGTACACAAAGTTAATAACTTACGAAAATACATATACTTATGTGAAATACACAGCGAGCAAAGATGTTATATTTACCTGATTGCATGTTTCATTTAAAACTTCCACATCTTCTACAGCTTCTGGAAACCAGATCACGTTGGTACATTCTGGATATCCCATACAGGTGATATATTTTCCTCTGCCTTGTCGTCTTTGTTTTAGAACCATGCCAGAGCCACATTTTGGACATTTAAATATAGTACTAATCACTGGAGTATTAAGCTGTATTTGCTCGGTTTGAAGAGGTCTTTCATCGAGATAGTGTGCTAAAGAGTCGTCTATCAAATTGGCGCGTTCTATAGCCACTTGGAACACTTCGCGATATTTATTAATTTGACTTTGTAATACTTCATTTGGGTTTTTCTTACTCTCGCATATCCTATGATAATAAAATATTATAAAAATAGATTTATACATACCCATACAGAATAATAGTGAATTCGATTGAACGCACTAGTATGCACTCGTGCATATTAACCGTTATACTAATTAATATAAAGTGAAATGCAAATGTTTTAAATAAATATTGTTTTATATAAATATATTAAATAAATGTTTTATATAAATAATGTTTTAAAATTGCATAGAAATAGGTTAAACTTTAACCCATTTCTATATCAAACAATTATAAGTGGAAATTAAATTGATAAAAATTTCAAATAATAGAAAGAATTTAAAATACACATCTTTACGTCAATTTATGTAAGACATTAATTAATGTGTATTAGTATGCGTCTAATCGAATTGGCTAAGAGATTGTCTAATGATACATTAAGTTAGCTTACAGTTGTAAATCTTTTTCTAAATCCGCACGCAAATGCGGTTTGGACATTTGAAAGCCCATATTATCATAACCCATGACCAAACCAATTCCCAATTTGCCTGGCATAAAATGTTGAGTATCCGTCAAGCCCACATATTGTCTCGATTTGATGGTATCAATATGGTCAGCATGAGTAGCGTCTGTACCGATGCCGTGTTTGTCCATTAGTGCGATCAACTCAGCCTCGGTTAATAAATTTGGTGCTGAAGTTTTCTCTTCCACCATATCAATGCTAGTTGGTCGAAAAACTTGCCGCTGCTCATAAGAATGAATCTGCTTGTTATTCCATTTTTCATATATATATACATCGAGATAATTCTTCGTTATGATTTCAAGACCGTTAGCCTTGAACTTCTCTCCCGCTATATCAATTTCCACCGTTGTTTCTCGGCCCTCCGCATTCTTTGACAGACAAGCCAGAAAATGTCGAACCACAAATTCATAGACCTTCGCTTCGTTTCCTATTGATAAATTTGCAACTAAGTTAATGATAAATAACCCTTATAGAAATTTAATACCGAAAGATGATTAGTTATTTTGAATATTAAAAATACTATTTATCAATGCTTTTATTCAAAATGAGTAATTCCCAGCATTAAATTAACCAACAGATATTAGATTTCTATAAGAGAAGAATAAGTACTATAAACGGACCATATAAATTGTCGGTATACTTTATGGGATGAATAGGGGGATGCGCTTGATCGCTTTTCTTTCCTTGTCTGGGAGTTATACCAGATTCCAGTAAATTTTGCGCAAAGTTACCCCATTCCTGATTATTTACTTGTTGCTCTACTAAAGATCTTAGATTCAATTCCTTAGGAAATATATTCGTTTCCGTGCGTGGATAACTAATAAAACCTTGGGTATATAATCTCTCCGCTATCCTCATTGTCTCCTTTGCGTTTATGCGTAACTTACGAGAGCCTTGCTTCTCCAATTCCTGAATTGATAATTTTTTAAATTAAATGTCTTGCAACTTAAATATATCTTAACTTAGTTACTTACAATAGTATCCAAAGGTAAAGGTCTCCATTTGCTTTTTGGTTTGCATGTTACTTTCTCTACTGTAGCTTCCGGCTGTTCCAAGCACATATCCAGAAATATTTGGCAAGGCATTTTTTCAAACAATCTTACTCTGGCCCATCTGAATTCTACAGATATCTCCTCACGATCGTCCATCACTTTTAGTTTCCAATATGGTTCAGACTTGAAACGATCGATGGCAAGAAATCTTTCGACTACAAATCCAAGCGTTGGAAACTGGCAGCTTCCGTAACTGATGAGCAGATCTCCAAGAGTGTTGGGAAACACTTTCTGTAATCTTAAGGTCTGAAACCTCGTGAACGCGGCACCTGTCAATATGTTTGTCAATTAGAAGCTTATAACAAAAGTTACAGCTGAATCATTCTAATTAATAACGTTTAATGAAAGTAGTACCTATTCGTAAATCTAATTCACTTCTTACGTCTACGGCATCGCTCATTGCCTTATCTGGCTGTACCAAATTTTGCAGAGCTCTTTCAACAGAC